GGCCTCCTTGGTGCAGGGAGAGAGAATGAGCTTTCTGGTGTCTCTTATATTCAGATCAGAGTCCCATCCTTATGACTTCATTTAACCTTAATTACTTCCTTAGAGGCCCATCTCGAAATATAGCCACGCTGGGGGTTAGGGCTTGAGCATATGAATGTTGGGGGGATACACACATTTAGTTCATAATACTCATGTTTGGGAGCAGCAGTATGCTTGGGAGTAACTGTGGGACTGAACCTTGTACTAAAGCAGTTTTAGATGTCCCTCCTTGGAGCAGCGGGCTATGGCAGGAGGAACGCATGAGTTCCTTGAAGGTGGTCGGAGGTGACAACTATGGCCTGTCCCAGGAGAGGACCCTGTCCACGGGGGGTGGGGGGGAGTGGGGAAGATAACACAGACCTCTTGGTAGAATTTCTCAGGGGCTCCCCTCTCTTCTCAGCCCCCAGACCTGGAGCTCATCTCCAGGATTTTGGAGCCTTTCAACATTACAGCTTCCAAATCAGAAGTTGAAAAGTAGGGCCCACAAGCTCAGTTCAGCCCACAGATGGGCTTGTTGGCCAGCCCAATGATTTAAATCTTTGTATTAGTGGCCAACATTGTGTTTCTATACAATTCTTTCTACTTTACCATATGTTTGAAAAGTTCTATAATAAAATGTTGAAAAGTAAATGGATGAACAGCAAGGCGACACCACTACACACTTGTTAGAACGGCTAAAATCCCAAACACTGATGATATCAACTGCTGGCAAGGATGTGGAGGAACAGGAACTCTCATTCAGTATTGGTGGGAATGCGGAATGGCACCACCGCTTTAGAAGACAGTTTGGTGGCTTTCCTAGCAATTGTGTTCCTAGGTCTTGACCCAGCTGATTTGAAAATTTATGTCCACACAAAAACATGTGCATGTGAATGTTTATAACAGTTTTATAATCTCCCAAACTGGAAGCAACAGAAATGCCCTTCAATAAGTGAATGTATAAACAAACTGTGATGCATCTATACAAGGAAATATTATTGAGCAATAAAAGTAAATCACCTATCTAGTTATGAAAAGACATAGATAAATCTTAAATGCATGTTGCTAAGTGAAAGAAACCAGTCTTAAAAAGCCAACACACTATATGATTACAATTGTATGACATTCTGGAAAAGGGAAAATTATATAGAAGGCTAATAGATTACTGATTGCCAGGGGTGCCAGGGAGGAATAGAATTGAATAGCTGAAGCATAGGGGAAATTTTTTAGGGGAGTAAAACTATTTTGTATGGTACTGTAATGGCGAATAGAAGACATTAAGTATTTGTCAATAAGTAAACTTTAATGTATGCAAATAAAACATCATCTAGGAGATTGGTTCCCAGGCTGGAATGCAGAATGACCAAAGAATCTAGCAGTATTACAGAAGCAGGAAACCACCTTACCAAAGACGGTGGGGGAATAAGGTATTTACCTAGAAATGAGTAGAGTCTGTTAGACTAAAGGCAAAAGGAATGGCATATGAGCAGTGTACTCCAGTTGATAAAAGTGTGTCCCATGGAAGTATGGGTTAACAATTCTGCAACCACTACTCATGTACACTGGAATTGAACAATTAAGTAAACGGAGGATGGATGTTGGGAGTCAGGTTTCTCACTGTTGGAGTGAGACGTTAGATAAGCAAGGGAGAGGCTAGAACAATCCATGTGGTAATAGATTGGAGCTGGAGGCTTCAGTATGAACCTGTGCAGCTTCCTATAGATCAGTTGCTTACATACAGATTATCTATAAATGTGTATAGACACAGGTTTGTATACACACATACATCTCCTTGCTTTATCAGCTGAGAGCGCCTAGAAACAACCCCCCCCCAACACACACACCCAGTTGCAACGACTCACTAGTGTAGCATCCAGATCTTGGTTTCTAATACCATTCTCTAATAAAATGAGGCTGGGAGCGGTGGCTCACGCCTGTAATCCTCTCACTCTGCTAGGCCGAGGCGGGTGGATCGCTCAAGGTCACGAGTTTGAGACCAGCCTGAGCAAGAGCGAGACCCCATCTCTACTAAAAAAAAAAAAAAAAAGACGAAACCAGCCTGAGCAAGAGCGAGACTCCGTCTCTACTAAAAATAGAAAGAAATTAATTGGTCAACTAATATATATAGAAAAACATAGCCGGGCGTGGTGGTGCATGCCTGTAGTCCCAACTACTCGGGAGGCTGAGGCAGCAGGATTGCTTGAGCCCGGAGATTGAGGTTGCTGTGAGCTAGGCTGACGCCATGGCACTCACTCTAGCCTGGGCAGCAAAACGAGACTCTGTCTCAAAAAAAAAAAAAAAGAAAGAAAGAAATTAATTGGCCAACCAAAAATATATAGAAAAAATTAGCTGGGCATTGGTGGCGCATGCCTGTAGTCCCAGCTACTCGGGAGGCTGAGGCAAAGGATCGCTTGAGCCCAGGAGTTTGAGGTTGCTGTGAGCTAGGCTGACACCACAGCACTCTAGCCCAGGCAACAGAGTGAGACTCTGTCTCAAAAATAAATAAATAAATAAATAAATAAATAAATAAATAAATAAATAAATAAAATAAAATGAGCCAGAGCTCCTTGGAGAAATGGCTGATTCTAGGACCAGGGCAGGAAATATACAAGATGATCATGGGGCTTCTCCTAGAGCCAGAAAGTAAGAAAGTGCTAAAAAACAAACAAAACAAACACAATGATGAAGGCATGTCAAAGGGATACAGAGCTCATTGCAAGAGCTCCCAATGGACATCTGTCTATCTTCCTATCTACCGATCAATCAATGCATGTCGATACCCTACTGGTTCTGTTTCTCTGGAGGGCGCTGACTGATACTTAGGGGAAGCTGGGTGTGGCATATAGGTGGATGGTTCATTGCAAGGAATACCTTGGCTTAGGTGATGGTTACCTGGGTGCATACACATGTAAAAATTCATTGAGCTGTACATTTAAGGTTTATACACCTGACTGAATGCAGGTTCTATTCAAAATATTTAAAGTGGATTTGATGTAAAAATCTGAATGTACAGCTTGTCTTGGAAAATCAGAAGATCCTGGTGCTAGCCGGTGCGGCTGGGCAGCAGCTGCCCCCTTTAGTGGGCAGGGGGAGGGACTCCGAGCTCACTGCAGTCTCTCTTGCTGCTGCTTCTTCCCTGGCCCCGACCCAGGCCCCAGCTGTTGCCTGTTGGGACCTTCTGGACTAGAAGCCCTTCTGGGGTAAGGGGGTGTTTGTGAGATTTGGAGGAGCTGTGGGATTCCTGGTGCCAGCAGACATACTGCGGCTCAGACCATCCCACCAGCCACTCCCAATGCCGCACTCGCAGAGCCCACCAGGCTGGAAGGCCAACCCTGAGTGGGATTCTTCTGGTTTCCCCCGGCTCATGTCCCTTGCAGCAGGGACAGACATTTCTCAGGCAGCAATGCCGTTTGTGCCAGCTGTGAGGGCGGTGGGAGGGAGGGCGGGCCACGGCTTGCAGAGAAGCCCCTGGGGCTGGGGCAACTCATCCTCATCCCCAGGCCTGCCATACTGGCAGGAGAGATCACCTAATTGAGGATTAAGGATTAATTGAGTGGCGAGTGGCACTAAGGCCGCTGCCGCCAGCCCTAGCACCTCTGCATCCAGGCCTCGGGCTGGGCAGGGCACAGGCAGCTGCCGGTCTGCTCTGTCCAGGGCCTTCTTCTCCTTGGCAGGAGTGGTGTGGAGACCAGGCATGGGTGCTGAGAGCGCCCACCCCTTCTTGACCAGGTGGGGCAGGGCTCGTTCTCCCCGTTGGCAGCCAGGAGCTGCACCCAGGCCCTCGCTGTAGCTAGAAGAAGCTGACCCAGAGGCGCCCTCTCCGGTTGACACTGTGGTTTAGAGTCTCCAGGCCTGCATGCAAGTCCCCCCTTCCTTTGTACCACCTGTGTGTGACTTTAGGCCAGTCCCTTGTCCTCCTGGAGCCTTCTGGTACCAGACAAAAGGGCTAGATTGACCCGGAGGCCATGGGAAGTCACGGCCAGTGCCTGAATGGGAGTGTGACAGGAAGCAAGTAGCACTTTAGGAAGAATAACGGGGCAGTGTGTGGGGAGAGAGGGCGGTGAGGCGGCATGACCTCTAGCAAGTCACTCAGACTCGTGCTATGGCTTGAGAGTTCATGTTGAAACTCACCCCCCAGTGCACAGGAGTAAGAGATGGGACTTCAGGGGGTGATTAGGCCATGAGGGCTCTGTCCTTCTGGATGGGGTCAGAACCCCACACATGGGCTGGGGGAAGTAGGTGGGCCCTTTTGCCCTCTGCCGCCCGCCCTGCGAGGACGTCTCTGGAGGAAGCAGCTCAAGGCGCGGACTTGGGAGGCAGGCGCTGAGAGAAATTACCGTGCGAGGAAGACCTAGAGGCAGGAAGCGGGGTCGGGTGGGAGAGCCTCCGATTCGAGGCGGTTCTGAGTAGGCCTGGCTGACCCAAAGGGGAGCTCAGAGCAAAGACCACCAGGAGAGCAGCCTCAGATTAGGCAGAAATGTCCAGGTCCTCGCTCCCCGCACTGTGCTCCCGTCAGGGGCTGGGGTCCCCAGAGGCCCAGAGGAATGAAGTGTCAGCTCCAAAGCCGAGGTGTCTCCTGAGGGGGCCAACAGCTGAGCCTTTCAGCTAACTCGCTGACCCCTTGAGCCGAACGGGAAGTTCTCGAAGGGAGCCCCAATGTACTCCCAAGGCTGCTGCAGGAGCGAGTGAGGCCAGGCCTGGGAAAAGCCCAGCCAGCACTTGCCCCACACTCTACTGTAATCAGGATAAGCGGGGACGGTGGAGGACGGACGGCACACACCTGAGCCCTGGGACGTTTCCTGACACTGCCCTGGGTTGGGCCCAGGATCCAGAGAGCAAGAGGAGAAGGTCCTCACCCACCTGGGGCTCACAATCGAAGGGGCTTGTGGTCCAAGAGGATAGCCCCAAGATTTGACTTTTGGGGGCCAAATATTGGGGTCTCCAGAATAAGCGAATGGGAGGCAAAACCCATCTCCCCAGTTTGCAGATATTTTATTGCCAGAGAATCAGCGAAGGTGCAGGGGCTTTGCCGGAGCAACGGTGTGGGGGTGAAGGCAGGCACACAGGTGAGGACGGGCAGGAGGGGAGCAGGGTCCCAGCTGGAGGTGGTGAGCTTCAAGGAACATGCTGGTGGGCAGAGGCTGCAGTTGTCCTCAAGTCCTGTCCGCTGCCTCCGGTTTCTGTACAGGCTCAGCGAGACATCATTCGCACAAACTCTGCCAGGGCAAAGCCAAGGTTTGGGGTATGCTCTCTGGACCCCACTGGGAGTGTGGTTGAGGGGCGGGCCTGCAAGGGCAGCTCCCGGATCTGATACAGAACAGGCTTCAGGGCTAGAAAGAGGGGGCTTTGTCTTATGGAGAAAGGAACAAACAAATCCTTGTAACTGAACTTCTTTTCCTCTTTGCTTTGACCACTAGGAAACTTACGAGCAACTTTGGGGCTTACTTTAGGGAATGCTTTTTTCTTAATCCAGGGTCTTGGTCTGTTGCGCATACTAGAGTGCAGTGGTGTCATCATAGCTCACTGCAACCTTGAACTCCTAGGCTCAAGCCATCCTCCTTAAGACCTGGGACCTCAGGTGTGTGCCACCACGACCGGCTACTTTTTAAACTTTTTTGTAGAGATGGGGGTCTCACTGTTGCCCAGGTGGAGCTCAAACTCCTGGCCTCAAGCGATCCTCCCACTTCAGCCTCCCAAAGTGCTGGGATCACAGGCGTGAGCCAGTGCGCCCAGCCAGCCCTTCTACATATGAATTTTCCTTGGCTTCATTATTATTTAATCTTTGTTTTCCCTCATGGGAGTGTCTGGGTCGGGCTGCCCAGATGGATACGTTGGCTCCAGCCACCTCCTTTTGCTAAGCGAGCGCCTCTCTTTCCTGAGGACCCTGCCTCCTGGGTTCTGGGGGGAGGGGGAAGGCCTAGGAAAGGGGCGGGGTGCTTCGCGCAGGGCAGCGCACGCAGTGACAATGCTCCCTTTGTCCTTATCTGTCGAGAACCTTCCAGCAGGGCGTGTGCCGCGGGCGGTACCTTCGAAGTCCACCAGGCCGTCCCCGTTGAGGTCGATGTCCTGCAGGATCTCGTCCACCTCCCGCTGGCTCAGGCGCTCCCCCAGCAGGGCCTTGAGCGCCGCCCGGAGCTCGCCCACGCTGATGCAGCCGTCCCCGTTGGCGTCGAACTGTGGCGGCGGCGGCGTGGGGTCACCGGCGGTCGTCCCGCTCGGCCCCTCGCTCGCCGCATACTCGCCGCCCCGCGCTGCCCCGCGCCGCGCCCCGCGCCGCCCCGCACCTCCCGGAAGGCGTCGCGCAGCTCCCGCACGCCGATCATGTCCGCCGTCTCCGCCAGCAGCTTGGGGCCCATCAGCTCCACAAAGTCTTCGAAGTCCACCTTCCCGCCACCTGGGGGGCCCCTGCGTCAGAGACCCAGGGCCCCGGAGCCCCCCACCCGCCCCGCGCGCCCTCCCTCCCGACGTGGACGCGCCCCCTCCGCGCGCGCAAAGGCTGGGCCGCCCCAACCACGCTGCAAACAAGCCACAGATCTGGCCAAAGGTGAAAGGAAAACCACTCTTCAGACTTCTTGGAGCGGTTCCTTAATTTTCCTGAAGAGCGCCCTGGGGGTTGAGTCCTGGCTCCATGAACTTCCTGTGTGACCTTAGACAAGTCACTTATTCAGAAACTCAGTTTCCTCATCTGTGAAATGGGAATCGCGGTCCTCGCTCCGCCCACCTCAGAGAGGATGGTGCGATTCTGCAGAGTGACCGGGGTCCTGGGCTCTGGGGACAGCCTGCGCAGTCACCCCTGTGCCTGGGCTGGCGGCTTCCCTGGTAGCGGTCAGGGCACCCGGAGGACTCGGGGTGAGGCGGGCCTGAGGCACGTACTGATTTGCTGCGAGATCTCGATGAGCTCCATCTCCGTGGGCATGTAGCCCAGGGTCCGCATGCAGGCGCCCAGCTCCCGGTAGCCGATGTAGCCGTCCCGGTCCCGGTCAAACTCCTGGAAGGCCACCTGCAGCTCTGCCAGGCAGGGTGGAGTCAGTCCCTCCCCCCCATGCTGTCCTGGACCAGCCTACCCTTCCTTCTGCCCTCGGTCCAGTCCTTCCCTCCTTGTAAACACCAGTTTGTCTTTGCTGCCTCAGGGCCTTTTCACATGCTGTTTCTGCTATTTGTTCTTTCAGCACATAGTTAAGGAGTAGCCACTGTGTGCCAGGCTCTGCTCTAGGCACTGGGTATTCAGCCGTGAATTTTTAAAAGACAGAGAGGAAGAGGAAGGAGCAAATCCTTGACCTCACGGAGCTTGCATTCTGGAGCATTTCCCCTCCTCTTCGATCCTATGTCACCCACGAAAGAAAGGCTTCCCTCTCAGTTTGTCCTGCGCCCGCCTGTTTGTTCATTTCCTGGAGAGCACCTGGCACCGCTGGTACTCGTGGCTGACTTACTGACGTCGGTCTCCAGAGGGCAGGGACTGTGCCTGTCCAGTCTGCCACGTTCCCCAGCGCTCAGCACCGGGCCGGGCGCACAGTGGGCACCCAGGGAGTGTCAGCTGAGTGAACAGATGTGACCCGCCTGGCAAATGAGACCAAGGAACTGATAGCCAGGGGCGGGGATGTCTGTCAGCCCTTCCTGCTCAGTCTTGTCCCCGTCTCCCGGGACCCGTCTCCCGTGGCCTTCTTGCTCCTAGTTCCACCTGGAGACTGCCGCAGCCCCCACCCGATGCCCCGTACCCTGTGTCCCCACCCCGTCCCCACGCTCCGGGGAACCAGTTCCTCCTCAAACCTTTACCTTCAATCTCCTCGGGCCGCAGCTCCCGGTCCTGGGGGGGCACAGCAGGGTTAGGGGTTCCCTGGTCCTCCTAGGCCCTGGACCCACCCTTCTTTTTCCTCCGGGCTCCCCACACAGCCCGCCCCCCGACGCGCACGCACAGGGCCTGTGTCTGTCTGCTGCCACTCAGACCTGGCTCCCCACAAGTCCTGCTCCCTGGCCTGGGCGACCTGGGTGCCCCCTCCCTGCTGCCTGCCCAGGTCGCTCCCACGGCCTTCTCCACCCACCCTCTCCCCCTCTTCTAGGGCATGGAGCTCCTTTTGCCAGACGTGGATCTTGGGGGTCGGGTAGAACCTCAGACTTGGCCCTGCCAGCCTCAGTGTCACTGTTGATGTCCCCTGTTTCTGGAGCTGTCACTTTCTGCCCCTCTCCGCCTCCCACCCTGGGTCTGTGTGCCCTTGCTCTGTGGTCCCTGCTCAATCTCTCCCCCGTTCCAGGAGAGGCAAAGCGAGGGGACAGGGTAGGCAGGCTGGTGGGCGGGTGGCCGTACATACGAGTTGGGTGGCGGCGATGCTGGGCCGCAGGAAGATGCAGGCAGGCCCCACCAAGCTGCTGAGCACCGAGTAGCCCTGGACGCCCTGCCCAGGGCCCCTCTGCTCCTTGGGGCTGGGGCTGGGGCTGTGGTGGGAGCCCCCTGGTGGGGAGCCGGGCCACTGCCAGGGGTCCTGCAGCAGAGCCCGCCGTGAGCTGGGGCAGTGGCTGCTGAGCACCAGGCCCGAGCGCCCCTCCCCACCCCCACTCACCAGCCTCTTCTCTCTTTGCAACCCTGCACAGGACCGTGGGGAAGGGGCTCAGGGTGCTCGGGACCCTCACCCATTAACACTTTAGGCCAGAAGGGGCCGTCCCCTAACTGTTCGGTTGGGCAGACCAAGGCCCAGCCCGGAAAAGGCAAGGGACTTGGCCAAGGTCACTGTGAAAGCCACTGGCAGAGTGAGACCCTGTGCTCTAGCTCTGCGTCTCCCAGTCAGGGCTGGCGGGCAGGGAGCAGGGACCTGCTGCAGGGCTGGGGCAGCCAGACGGGCAGCTGGAGGACCTGGGGAGCTTGGCGGGGAGACCCAGCGGTCTGTGGGCGGCAAGACCAGGGTGAGGCGGAGTCTGGGGGCTTCCAATAAAAACTCTTGTTCTGGGGAGGCACACAACCAGTCCCCGTCCCTGTGCCCACCTCCGTCTGCAGCCCGGCCCTCCCGGGACTCTGCCCACCCCACCTGGCCCTGCGGGGTCCAGCCCTGCTTTCTGGCCTTGACTGCTCCCCCTCAGCCCTCCTACCTTAGGTCCCCGGCGCCGGGGCCACTTGGCACAGTTCCCCATGGGCCCCTGGACCATGCCAGGCCCGGAGTCCCCGGAGCGGCCGGGGCCAGGCCTCGGCGGATGCTGCAGACACCCGCCAGCCCCCAGCCGCTCCCAGTGCGAGCCTGGGAGTACTGCAGGGATTTTCCTGGGGTTTTGTGGGGAAGATGGGGGCGGGTGGGCAGGCGGGGGGCCCTGGGCCCGGGGCTTGGGTCCTAATCCGGGATTATCTCTGAGCATCTCTGCTGGTGAGGGAGGCCACTTGGGCCCAAGGCCCCCTGGAAGGCACAGCCTCCCCACTCTTCCTCCTGAGGGTCTTCCAGACACCCCCTCTCCAGTACCTTCTCCCCCCACCCTGCCCCTAATCTCTCCCAATCAGGAGAGATTTACCATCTTCAGAAGCAGGACCTGGGTCCTGGGAGGAGCAAAGCAGGTGCCCAGTGTGCTGGGGGTAGGGGTGGGGGTGGGGGGGAGGGACTGCTTTCCCCTCAGAATGGCAGCACATTCCAGGGGCCAGGAGCATTGTGGCCCTCCCCCAGTGCCTCCCAGAGACGGGCGGCAACCTTGGCCCGGGCAGGAAGCCCCTGCCTCTCTTTACTAGGACCCTGGGCTCCCGGCCTCAGGGCGCTTCCAAGCCTGCACGCCCTGCACACCCTCCGCCAGCCCCACCAGCCCCTGGCCCCCTGCGAGGAGCTGGCAGGAGTCTGCTCTGGCTGCCATGGGGCCGGCCTGGTTCCCTGAGCCCAGAGGTAGGGGAGAGGCACCAACCAACAGACCCCTCCATTGGCATGTGTGTCCTGGGGCCCCTTCCGGACTTGGCCCTGGGTCCATCCTGCAGGGCCCCCAGTTGGGGTGTGGGGCCCCTGCTGTTCACACGTGGTTCCCACAGTTGAAGACACCCATGTCCCCTTTACCTGCCCGTAGGCTGCCTGCACCTGGGCCTCGAGCTCCTGGAGGAGCAACCGTCGCCTGGTGGCTTCTGGGGTGGCAGGGGCCTGGCTGGTGCCTGGACCACCCCCCGAGGGGCTGGGGTCCCCCGAGTGGGGGGTGCCATCCGCCGGGCCCTGGGGCAGGGCCATGGAGAGACGAGGCGAGGCGAGGCACCTCCTCCTGGCTGAGGGACGCTGCCCCTGTGCAGCCTCCCGAGTCCTGTGGGAGGTGGCCCAGTGGGCGGCTGCAGGTGTGGTCCCCGGGTCCTGTGGGTCTTCTCCCTGTTCCTCCCTCCAAGGGCTGGAAGAGCCCCAGGCCCCCGAAGTCGCTCCCAGCTCCATGCAGACCCCCACACAGCCCCATCAGCCTGGCAAAGCCCCTCGTGCTGGCTGCGGACTGCACCTGGGTGCCCCGCCTGTCCTTGCAGACACGGTCGCCTGCCCTCCCCCTGGCTTGGGCCTCCTCCCGCCTAGTGTTCTGCCTCAGTTTCTCTGGCTCGTGCCCCACCACGCCCTCCCCTGCTGTTTCCATCTCGCCCTCTGCCCCTGCTCTGTGGATGTCTGTGTCTGTCACCTGCAGTCCCTCTCTCCACCCCTCTCCGCCACCATCTGTCTCTGTCTCTGTGCAGCGGTGACTCTGGGTCTCGTCCATCTCTGTCGCTCCCTTCCTCTTTCCCACATCGCTCTGTCTTCTGCCTGTCTGTCCTTGGTCTTCCTATTCCTTCCCACCCCCAGGATGGCTCCAGGATTCCTGAAAGGCAGCTCCCCCTACCCCAGGTGCCTCCCCCTCCCCCAGCCTCCTGCCTGGTCCTGCCGACCTGCAGCCTCTTGCTTCTAAGGAAAGGGGTTCCTTAGAAGGAAGGAAGGTGGAGGTGGGCCAGGCAGCCCCCGCTGGTCTCCTGGGCCCCCTCGCCATGCCCCAGCCCACTCACCACCCAGCTGCCTGCTCCTCAGCTCCCGAATGAGGTCAGTCGCCCTGCCCTGGCCCTGCTCCAGGCCCTTCATGATTTATTCACCTGCTCCCACACCAGCCTTTGTCCAAGGGAACCAGATCCCACCAGAAGCCTGCCACCTGAGCTGCTGGCTCTGGCCGCTCCCGGCCACGCGTGGCCGTCCATTCATGTATTCCCCGGCAAACCTCTGAGGCTGGCTGGGACCAGCCCTGGGCCAGCTGCTGGGGCCACATGACAGACCCCACTCTCAGGCACATCTAACGAGGAAAGGGGACGCCACACAGCCTCCAAGTGCGTGGGGTCACCCCATCAGGAGGTGAGGGACAGGGCAGTGCTCCAGGTGCCGCGTGCCAGTGTTCCGGCTGTGCCCGGCCCTGGGAGAGAGCTGGGGCCCCTGGCAGGGAGCAGCCATGAGCTTGGAGGGGCCCAGGAGCTGGAACCTGGCAGTGTGTTGGTGAGGCCTTCAGGAGGGAGGCACGGGTTAGTCGCCGCTGGAGCGGGAAAGCGTGGCAAGAGGTCAGAGAACATTTCAGAAGGCTGAATCTTCAGCAAATGTTTGTTGAGCACCTGTGTGTGCCTTCCTGGGTGGTGGGAACCGGTCTCTGCCTCCTGGAACCTTCTGCCTGGTGGGAGACGCACATTCGGCAAAGCAGGATTATAACACTGGGTGCCCAGGGAAGGGCCCTGCAGGCCGCCAGGGAGCCCATTATGAGTGGGGCCAAGGAGCGAAGGCAGTAGAGGGTGGGAAAGCCTCCACGCACCCACGGGTGGGCCTGAGGATCCCAGCACAGGCCAGGAGTGAGAGATGCGTGGCTGCTGGCCGGGCGGTCGGGGCAGGTAACACCCCTGGAAACATTCCTCGCAGACAGGAACCCCTTCTGTTCTCTACAAGGTTGTCAAAAGTGCCAGCAGGACTGGGTTCCCCCATACACTGGACTCGTGACCCTGGGAAAGATATTTCACCTCTCGGAGCCTCAGTTTCCTTATCTGAAAAATGGGCTTGACTTCACATCCACCTCACAGTGCCATTGTGAAAATTAAACAATAAAGGACCTGGCAGATTCCTGGCACATAGCAAGGGCTCAAAAAATGGCAGAGGCCGGGCACGGTGGCTCACACCTGTAATCCTAGCACTCTGGGTGGCCGAGGCGGGAGGATTGCTCAAAGTCAGGAGTTCAAAACCAGCCTGAGCAAGAGTGAGATCCCATCTCTACTGAAAATAGAAAGAAATTAATTGGCAAACTAAAAATATATAGAAAAAATTAGCCGGGCATGGTGGTGCATGCCTGTAGTCCCAGCTACTCGGGAGGCTGAAGCAGGAGGATCATCTGAGCCCAGGAGTTTGAGGTTGCTGTGAACTAGGCTGACGCCACGGCACTCTAGCTCAGGCAACAGAGTGAGACTCTGACTCAAAAAAAAAAAAAAAAAATGGCAGGCATCCCATGTGACAAATGATCCGTGTCTACGTGACCATGCAGGAAGGCAGGAAGTGGTGAGAAACGTGTGTCCCAAAGTACAATCCGGAGCAGTGGGGGCCATAAGTGGGCAGAGTACAGCGGGTAAAAGTTTTCAGTCAGGGAGCAAAGGCTTTGTGCCGAGGCGGAGGACAAAGCCTGGCCTGGAATCTCTCCTGGAGGATGCAATGAGCAGCATCCTGGAACATTCCTCTTCGTGCCCTTCACTTGCCCAGCTTGACTCGGCCAAGCTGAGGTCCCCGCTGCATTGTCCAGGATAGCGGATCAGTGGTTTGACTGATGGGTAGATGGGTGGATGGATGGGTGGAAGCATGGTTGGCTGGGGAGAATGGGTGGGTGGATGATCTGATGGACAGGTGTTTGAATGGTTGGTGGTTGGAAGGATGGATGATTGAGTAGACGGATGGATAGATGGACAGATGGATGGAAGGATGAACAGATGGACAGGTGATTGGATGGATGGATGGGCAAGTGGATGGATACTTGGGTGGGTAGATTGAGAGTTGAATGGATGGATGGATGGATGAATAGATGAATGGATGGATGGACAGGTGGGTGGCTGACTGGATGGAAAGATGGGTAGATTATTCAATGGGCTGGTGGTGAAATGGTCAGTAGATGGATGGATGGATGATTGCATAGACAGATGGTTGTGTAGATGGTTGGTTGGATGGATGGATGAAAAGATGGATGGATAGGCAGGTGGAGGATGATTGGGTGAGTAAATGAGTAGTTGGATGAATGGGTGGATAAATGAATATATGGATGTTTTAATGGTCTGGTAGTTGAATGTTTGTTGGATGGGTGGATAATTAGGTATATAGATAGGCAGACAGCTAGATGGAAGTGGATAGATGATGGGGTGGATGGACTGCTGGTGAAGGTCTTCTATTCTCCATTAAAAGCATTCATTAGATCATATTCTACCTATTTCTGTGTCTCCTATGATGCCTAGCCCATGTGCTGCCTCGTACATAGTAAGCCATGTACGAGTGATGAAGACGTGTGTCTGTCCATCTCCCCCGACTCTGAACTGTGATTCCTCTCATGGCAAAGGTGATGGCTCCTTCTCCCCCACGTTTCCCGCAAGCCGAACTTGGAGCTCGGCCCCTGGTAAGCACCATACGCAGAACCATGTGGAGATATCACGCCACACTTGCTAGGATAACTAAAAGAAAGAAGACAGACTATAACAAGTGCTGGTGAGGATGTGGAGAAACTGGAGCTCACACACTGCTGGGATTTTAAAGCAGTGTGGCCGCTGTGGGGAAGAGTTTGGCAGATCCTCACATGATCCAGCAGTTCCGCTGCAGGGTGTACACTCAAGGGAATTGAAAACGTACGGTTACACGAAGACTCCTACACAAATGTTCATAGAAGTATTATTCATAGTAGCCCCTATCTGATGCGAAGTGAAAGAAGCCAGCCCCAAAGGACAAATACGGTATGATTCCGTCTACGTGAAATGTCCACAATGGGCAAATCCATAGCGACAGAAAGTAGATTAGCAGTTGCCAAGGGCTAGCGGGAGGGGGCATGAGGAGTGCCTGCTAATGGGTGTGGGTTTCATTTTTGGCTTGATGAACATGTTCTGGAATTAGATAGTGGTGATGACTGCATGACACTGAATATCCTAAAAACCACAGAAGGTAGATTTTATAAGGGTGAATCTGACATAATAATAAAGCTGTTTGTTTGTTTATTTTTAGAGACAGGGTCTTGCTGTGTCACCCAGGCTGGAGTGCAGTGGTGC